TTAAGACTGTATTGAAGAGAGATTAATGCACTCTTGTGATAAATAAGTGGCAAATTGCTAATCAGAGTAAATAAAGTGAGACTTGGATTTTTAGAGCACTCATACTATTTCCTTGATATTGGTGTATTGATTTTTCAATGCTGAAATATGTTGAATATAAGTAAGACAGCAGTACCATTGATTTAACTACCCTTTGTTTCTCTAAATGGGAGAAAAATAAGAATGTATTTTAAAAATTACTTACAGTTTAGAAGGCGACACATTAGTCCTCAGAACGACAAGAAATCAAGATGATTTTTGTCTGTGGGGTTTAATTTATTAAAATTTAATTTGTTCCTGCGCTTTGCTCCAACAGCTCTGTGCTGGCAAACTAGCTATAATTAGGTTAGCAGCCTCCGAAGCCTGCTGACAGCCCGAGCCTCAGAGAGCATGTGCTGGATTCCGTGTGTGCCGCCGCCTCATTGGTGGCTGGGCTGCTGCTCGCTGGCTTGATAGGTTTCCACAGTAATCTTTATGCTGCATTAGGGACATAGATACAGAGGTGCTGTGCTGTGCTCTCGGGGCAGCGAGGTGCCTGGCTGGTAGCAGTAAAGAGGGAAGAAGGCAAGAAGAGCAGGCGCGCGTCTTTGTTGTCGAGCATTGGTGGCTGAGGACCTCCGCTGAGCAGGAAGTCAGCAAAGGAGTCTCGGTTCAGGGTAATTACTCTCAGTCTTTATCTCTTATGAAAGACGCGGCTGTGCAGGAAGCGGAGCGTGTGCGCAGTGTCAGCTGTTTAATTTGATTTCCCTTTGTTGATGTTCTCGTACTCCAGCATTCCAGACTGAAGTACGTTCTCCCAGGGGCAGCTTACCTGGAAACAGCTCATCTATTCGAGAAGGAACGTTGCTTTTACCTGGATTGGGGGTGCGTGCTGGGCAGCGATTCTCACTGGCTCCCTTCCGTTCTGCAGAGCCTGGTGTCTCATCAGTGTGGTGTCTGAGGTGTGTTTCAGCCCCCAGGTGACTTTGTTGCTCCCAGCCCAGTCTCCTGAATAATGAGGCATCAAGGAGGATTCAGTGAGACGCGTTTCAGTGAGGGCAGCGCAGCAGCGCTCTTGGCTCGATGCTGGGTCTTAGCAGAAGCAGCGTGCTATTGTTTCTTCAGAGCTGTGTGCAGCCTTCATTTTGCGTGGTTTTCTTTGTCTCACCGTTTGTAGTTTTCATGCAGCCTTTTTGATACAGAAAATGTTCGCATGTCTGATTCTTGCAGCTGCAGCTACCTTGGTATAAGCTCAGCTGTGCCTGAGTGAATTTTGGTTCCTGGCTTTGTTTAGCTGTGATGTTGCCTTGGGAGTTGTCCTCGGAGGAAGTGCTTGTGCCTGGACTTCAACCACTGTCTGACATTTTTTGTGTTTCCATTAATGGTTACTTGGATAATTTTCCAAATCAAATAAAAAAGAATCTTAGATTGTTGGCAGATTCTAAAGAGAAATATTTGAGTAAGGCTAAGGATCAAAATACCCTAACAAATGCAGTATAAATTTTTGCTTTCACACTGTACTTTTCATAAAGTCTGTTCTGTGCACAGAGAGCCCTCGCTTCCATTTAGCCCCTTGTTGGCAGCTTGACTGTCCTCCCCTTATCAGACCACGGGCTCCAGAAACTTGTGTCCTGAGTCACCAGTCATAGGGCTGGCCGACTGCCACCATGCGTCTCCTGCTAGTGGAGAGTTCCGTTGGTCTCGGAGAGCCATCAGGAATTATTTGCCTACTCTTGCAAAGCCCACCATGGCAACTTCTGTGTTTTGTAAAAAGAGCTGCTCTGCTCTACTGTTGAGTCCTGCTGTAAGGCCTCAGTGAAGCCCGTGGCAGAGGAAAGCTTGAGGTCATCCCGTGCCTCACCCCCTCCACACCCACCGGGGGAGGTAGACGGTCTGGCATCAGAGCTCACCCTGGTGAGCTTTGAGAGGAGCATTATGAAGTTGTCCATGCACTGCACCGAGCCTGGTCCATCACCCATAATAAGAAAGTTGATAGCCGTTAACGGTAGTGGTGTCTGCGTGTCTTGGAAACTTGGCCGTGTTTTGGCAGCTAACGTGTTGGGAGGCAAGATGAGCCTGAGAGCACTTGTCCTGATTCGTATTCCACCCTGGATAGTAACCACGGCTGCCCCGTGTTGCAGAAGGAGCCCAGCAGGACCCCGCGCGCAGCCTCCACGGCACGGGTTTTCCTTTGCTTGTTGTCCCTGCTGTGGATACAGATGACCTGAAGTAGTTCAGTACCCTTTTCCCTTTCTATAAATCTCCTGAAATGCCGTCTACATTGCCTTGGCTTTAGAGAATTCTGAAGCAGTCTGCTGCCCCACAAGGAAACTGTTGTTGTCCTCTCTCTCCTCCACTGCCGAAGCGTTGGGCAGGTGTAAACACTGCACAGCTCACTCCGGTGAGCCGAGTGTCAGAGAGGGGAGCAGTGGCCAGTGTGGCTCCATGGTGGAGAGGTGGCCAGCGCCTGTGACGCCCGGGACACAGGGCCAGCACCTGTGCATAAGTGAAAACAGCAGAGAAAGGGGAACTCAGGGGTGAGTGCTCTCGGGGATGAGTCTTAGAGAACGTGGATCTGAAGCAGCTCGTTACAGATTTAAATACAGACGTTGGTGTGTATTGCGGGATGCAGCCCTACCCCGAGAGCCTGGACTGGCCTGCATCCACAGGGTCTCTGAACGTATCTGAGGGCCAGTTTCATACAGGACCAGAAAATGTTACTCACGGCTTTGCAAAGTAACCAAAATGTGTACTTTTATGTCTAGATACATTACATCTTTTTTGTTGTTGTTTGTTTTTACTACCTGGAGGGGAATATTTACATATTCCTGGGACAAGAAAATAAATATTTTCTTGGACCCTCTAAACTTTGCTTTGTTCCCCTTTTTCTAGTGTCAGAGCTCTTTACTGAAGAAGTGGCCTTCCCGGACAATTAGAAATGGGTTTATTGGCACAAATGCACAGGAACTTCCTACTTAAAGCATTTTCTGTTCTGTGATACGTGCTCTTTTTTCCTGCCCAGGAGCTTGCTTCTAATCACACCCTGGGAAGTGGGTATCAGTTTAGAAATGGAAAGTCCTTTCAGGCAGGATGTGGTGTACACAAAGTAGTGGGTCTGACAAAGGTCTGAAAAACTGATTAAAAAAAAAATAAGCAGAGCAATGGGCATTACAGGTTCCTGGCTGTAGGAGTGCAGGCCAGGCTGCAGGTGTCTCTGTGGCCGGCCAGTGATCTTGGAAGCGCCGAAGCTCCATCAGCCATTGATGAGTAGTTCAGAGTTGACTCTCCTACAGTTGCCTGGATTGGAAAGGAATTTAAGGAGACATTAGGTTCCTCGCCCAAGTGTACTTATTTTTTTCTTTCATTACCTTGTTCTGTAATCACAGATGTTTACAATAAGTGAGCCTCCATTAAGGATTATTAAGAGAAAGGCAGGAAGCACTGACCATCCTCAAAGAAGTGCGTACTGCGGAGACAGCTTAATTAAATTAAGTTTGCCTGAAAGACACAGGCACTTGGCCTGAAGTGGGGTGGCCAGTTCATTGGAAAGCGGCCTGGGAGTGCCGGGGCAGGCTTTGGGAAGAGAGGCGGGCCCAGCCCAGAGCCTGCTCCTGCCGTCTCCTCGGTACCTTGGCCCTGCTGTTGGCCCTGACTGGAGCTGCTGCGGCCCATGCGTGCTCCGCACTGTCGAGTAACCAGTAACGTAGAAGTGCATCACAGAGGAACCGGGGACCGCTGCTGCACTTCGTAGAGCTGCTTGCATTGCCAGGAGTCACGCCTCGCCTCGTGGTGCCTGTGGACTCCTGAACACCACTTATGGTGTGTGTGCCCTTTACAGAGGAGCTTGTAATCTGGACTTGGATTCTAATAGCTGGATTTCACCTTTCCATGGTTAAGGCATCTGTTTTTTGTAAACAATTAGAAAATTATTTCTAGAATATTTCTAATATCAAATGTAGCTATCTTTTAGAGATTGCCAAATCCAGGGCTAAGGCCACTTTTTGGATCTCCTCTTTTCCCTTGTTCTTTTTTTTTATGAGTAGAATATATTTATTGAGAGAAAGAAAGCTCCTGTCCAAGAGAGGGACAGGAGGGGGCCCGAGCGGATAGTGTCCCCTTTCCCTTGGTCTTGATGCCAGGATGATGTTTACAGGAAGACAGGTACCGCATAGCCCCTCCCTGGGGCCTGGGGGAGCCGCCCCGATCCCAAGGCCCCATCCGCGGTCCTGCTGCCTCACGCCTCCCCAGCTCCTCCTCAGCTGTCCAGCCCATGCTTCACCCTCTCTTCCCCTGCCCTCAGGGAGCTCCTGAGCCCCTTAGCCTGGACCAGCCAGGGCCTTAGCTGGTCCCTCTGCTGAGTGTGCTTCCCCCACAGTCGTCCGTGTTCATCTTGTGTTCAGTGTCTCCTCTCTGAAGCGTGAATTTCATAAGCCGTGTATTTTTATCTCATCCCACCCCCGGCCCTGAACAGTACTGGGCCCGTAGCAAATGTCCTCAGCACTTGTTGAACGCATGAGCGAGTGGATGCGTGAGACTTGGCGTGGGGATGCCGTGGCGCCTCTGTGGCCATCACGGTCTCTGGCCCAGCTCGCTGATCGGTGCTGAGGAGCTGCTCACCTAGTGGGCCTCAGTGTCCTGCTGTGGAGATGTGACGGCCCGGAGGCTCTCGGAAAGACTAGCACTCTCTTCCAGTTGAAGAAAAGAGGTAACAGTGAGTGTGTGAAAGTTTATTGACATTACTTCTTACTACTTGGTTTTATTTATTTATTTATTTATTTTTTTGTCTAAAACCAGATCAAAACAAACCAACAGTTAAAGTGAGCAAATTGGCTATTGTATTCTAAATAAAAACTAACACACTTGGGTTTATTAACATACCTATTTTTTAATCTGTTGGCTAATTTTTAAATGGAGTTATCATTTTCTTTTAGTATTTCTGCCCATTAAAAAGACAAAAGCAGTCTTCCATTCTTGTGTTGTAGTTGCTTCCTGCTGTGTAGAACGCTTTAAGAAAGGCGCCTTCCTGAGACCTCTGCCTCGTCCACAAGACACACATTCAGCTTTCAGGTAAGGGGATCACTTCACTTCGATCTACTCGGAGCAGCTGTATCGATTCTCTCAGAAAACCTGTGTCATTAAGACAAAAAGACTGAGGTTACAGATATTTTGTTATCTGGAAAGAAAATGTTATTTTCTCAATTTTGAAGTTCTTCCAGGGCCAACATACTGTGGTATATTTGCTTCTCAAAAGTTTTACTGAAATCCCTTCTGCATAGCTGCTGGTCGTTTGGGTGTGTTGTCACTGTAATACCCCCCAATAGTCTGCCGGGATTCTGCAGGCCCCCTTTACACGTGTGGAGTGAAACACTTCTGCAAGTGGATGTTCTCACATGGGGAAAGCCCGTGGCTGGGGGACAAGAAGGTTGGCAGGGCCAGCAGGGTTACTTTACAGATGGCTGCCGAGAGAGGCAGCATGGAGAGAGGAGAGCCTGCAGACACCCCAAGGCCTGGACGGATAGGGCTGCACAGGTCCAAAGGCCTGGAAGTGTGTGGCATGTTTCTGCCTCTGCCATCTGGTTTCCATAGCCTTTCCACGTCTCTTTTACAGACCCTTTTAATGATAGGGGAAGTCAATGCGCGGTGCTCAAGGAAAGAGGATTTCCTCCTTCTATGCAGGGACTAAGAGCTCAGTGCCACTGGATGAGGTGCGGAGAGCCAGGAAGACAGGAGCCAGCTGTGCAGCTATGCGTGTCTTCTACAGGTTGAGAAACGGTAAAGAGCAGTAATGGCCATCCCAGCTATGGTGGCCACCTTCCAAATTGCCACAGGCTTGGAGTGGTGGGCAGCCTCTGCCCCACTTACTTTCTAGCATCTGTGTGTAATGTTCTAGTGCTTGTGTAGTATACCAAGCATCCTATAGATTGTTACTCTTGTCAATGCAGGACAGCGTAGTTGGATATTGTGCTCCAAGAACTCCAGAATCTGACCTAGGCTGCCACATAGAAATCAATCTGGGCCAGATAGAAAGAGAGGAATCAAAGAAACACCCCTAGCGCTGCACCCTGAATGCGTCTCACTTACCTTCCTAGGCCACACTTGCGTCCAGCTCCTTGGCTGGGATGGCAAGCCCTCAGTGCCTCCTGCCCCACCCTAGGAGAGCTGAGGCCGTAAAGCTGCGCTGGGCACAGGTGGATTCAGTGGTGATGCCCTCCTACAGTAGCTGTGCTCTCTACTTTGCCCTGTCTCAGGAAGCTTGCCCACCCAGGTGCCCTCACCAAGCTTCTCCCTGGGACGCAGGGCTTTCTTTGCCAAGCCTGGAAGAACTGAGCCCAGCAACTCAGGGCTGCTTCTCCCACTCCCCTCCTTCATGGCCTCAGGGATTTCTGCTCATGAGCTTGCTGCTGACCACAGCTGAATGTGCGGCCCTGTGGAAGGGAACTCGGGGAAGCCGAGTCATCCTGAGTGTGACCTCAGCCCTGCTCAGTAACCGTGCAGATGGACAGCGTCCGGCTGCTTTAGTTCTGTGTAACAGAGACACGGCAGCTCCGGGGCTGCGTCTAGCAGGGGCCCTGGAGGTGCGGGGCCCCTCTCCCTTCTGACACCCGTGTGTAACAGGTGGTTACCTATCAGGCATAAGTGACTCTGAGTTTTGTAAACTTTATTGTAAAGTTATGGAGCTGTTGCTGTATGCAGAAGGCTAAAAAGGATGCAACTCATGACAGAGGTCACCTGGGACACGGGGCTAAGTCTGAGCACCTCTGACTGATTCTCATATCATGTCAGGGCACTGTGCGCAGGTGACTTGAGGTGTTTTGTATAGGTTTTCTCATGAATGGTATGGGGAACAGCTTTTAAAAAAAAAGTATGCTAAAGAATACTGCGAAAGGCCTCCATGTTCAGATGTTCTTACACTTGCTCTTTGCTGAGCTCTGAAATTACAGGGGAGCACCCTGCCAGGTACATACGGATTACCACCATCGACATTTGCCGTTACTCCCAGCAGTGTGTAGTCATGCTGTTTTTAGAGTAAGCTGGGTCTTTTCTCTTTTAAGAAAATTAAAAAGGAAAATGAAGGCATGAAATAAAATGATCTTGTAATGTCTTTGGATCACACTTTTTTGAATTAAACATCCTAAAACCCGTGCCCCCCCCCCCCAGCACGTGTATGCAAGTTGTTTTTCAAGGAATAAACACCAATTTGTATGCTTTCTTGATATGGTTTCAGTTTTAGGAAATAAGCTACTTGTTTCTCGTGGCTTTCAGTTTCTTACTGTCTTGTTCAAACTTATTTTTTTTTTGTTCAAACTTAATGAATGAGTAAGATTATTTTCTCCTTAAAAACTTTTTTAAAAATTTTCCCGGGACTGTTTTTCCTCTTTTATATTGTGAGTTGCTAGATGCTTGAGAAGTAGCCGGGAGCAAAACAGTCCTCTCGGTTCTGTGGTGTTAAGCGGGCGTCACCATAAATCCGCGCTAGCTCCCCCAGTGCCTTTTGCCAACGACGTTTTCTCCAGAACGAGCAGCTTGCTGGTGACTCATCTTCCTTTCACGCCAGCACCTCTGGCTTTTGCTTCGTCCCAGATCAGCTATATTACTCAGGTTTCTTTCATGATCGCAGGAGGATGACGCAGAGCTCGGGTTCCCTGTGGGGTCAGATGGGGTTCCTCCCCCGTGTCTTCTCAGCTGCCCTTCAGCAAGGGCCCCCCAGGAGCCCCGGAGTCCTAGGCCTGCCCCCCCCCCGACTGGTAGGGTATGCTTGCTTGTGCACTTTCAGCGCGTGTATAGGCCTCTATAGTACGGGGGTAGGGGGTAGGTCTCTTCTCTGAAACAAAATACTCCTGTACTCAGAAAGGAAATGTATTTCCAAACTGGAGGATTTCACACACATTAAGAAGTTAAAGCGTCTAAATATTTAACACATTTGTTATGAAGCTCAAACTTTATTGATTGCAACTTAAGTTGCTACATTACCAAGTAAGTCATCTGGCATTTTTTTTTTTTTTATCAAGTGAAACACAAACTGTGTTACTGTGAATGCATAGTTGTGGTGGATTATTCATTGCTGTGGCAGTTGAGGCAGATCATATCACTGTGGTCACCGGTTTTCTTACAAAGATGGACCATGAAGTACCTCCTGCAGCTGAGGCCGTGGTCCATGAAAGGAAGCCCCTCAGCAGTGCGCCGTCCGCAGCCACAGCTGCCTGCAGAGGGCTCAGAGCCTGCGCTGTGTGGGTGAAGGGTGCGGGCTGTACTTTGCGGCTTCCTGCCACAATAGTAGGACGCCTGAGATTACGAACTCACAGAGAGAAAAGGTTAATTTTGGCTGGTGGTACTGGAGGCTCTAGTCCATGAGAAGACAGACTCACACCTGTAGACCACTAGGAGTGGCACGTGTGGCACAATGAACTCTTCATCTCACTCTTAGGAAGCAAAGCAGTAGGGGCTGGTTCCCTTAGTCACTTTCTTAGGGTTCTTCTTCAGTGACCAACAGCCCTCCCAGTGGGCCCTGTTTCCTGAAAGTTCTATCACCTCCCCTCAGCACCAGCCTAGGGACCAAGCCTTGGACACACACAGGTCTTGGGGGGACAGTGCACTGTAGCAGGGACCAAAGAGATGAAACCTTAACCCTAAAGGCAGCCATGCGCCTAAACACAGGCGTCCCCAAGGCATTTCCATCATACCACAGCCAGACCTTACGCACCGATTGAGTTCCTTACAGCAGGTTGTCAGCACGACGGGAAAGTTAGGCAGTGGAAAAGACATCACGAAAAGGTTGTGAGGAACAGGTGTGCCAGGCGGGACAGTAGAAACAATGAAAGTAGTAAGAGAAAGGAGGAATCCAAGAAGTCAAGAAAGGAGGCAGGGAGGCTGAAAAACCCCAGTTTGGGGAGAGGAAGGCAAACCGGGACCGTCGTTGGCTGAGAGGGCAGCTGGGCTCTGAAGGCCTCATTCTCTTCTCAGCCTAGAACGTACCTGCCACTGTGGGAGGTTGCAGAGGTGTTTGTGAGTGCTGAGAAGTTGAGAGACCAGTGACCGCAACGGCGTCCTGGGCGTGCCGGTCTCTCTCGCAGCGTGCAGCGAAGTATGCCAAATGATCAGTTGTTACTTCTTTTTCACGTGTCTGTGTTTGAACAGTAGTCATAATGTGTCACTGTGATTGGCTTGAGAGCTCCGAGGGGATAGGAAGGCACCTGCCAGGTGTGTTGGGGTGTGTGCGTGTGGCTGGGGCGCCGCACCTGGTCCCTAACCCTTGCTCTCCGGCGCAGCAACCCTACTGCTTTTTCCAGCACCAGGAATCAAACGTCCTCACTCTGCTTCCCCCTCCCCCCTGCTATGACGTTCCTGCCCTGAGGGCGTCTGAAACAGACGGACTTTCCTGAAGCTGCGGCCCGCTAAGCCTCTCTTTGAATTCTGGGTGTTGGGCATGTTGTCACAGTGGTGAGGAAGCTGATGAACGTACCATGCTACAAGGTGCATGGAAAGCCTGAAATGCCCCTAGTCATGCTTACATTTGGAAATCCCACCCGGTCAGCAAGGGAGCCAACGACGTGTCTAAGAAGAGTTTCTCATCCTTCTTTTGTTGTCACTGCCCTCCTTAGGCTGGGGCGGTGACAGCCTTAGATGTTCCACTACACCGTGCTGCGGAGATAGCAGGGCCGTCGGGGAGTGAGGGAGAAAACAGAATCAGGAACCACTGTGGGGAAAACCAAAGTGGAAATGGGACTGTTCGTAGTTGTTTGTGCTTTGAGCACCATGCTATGGATGTAAAGATTACAGTTCATAACAGTGAATCAGATACAGGACGTTGGAGTAGATTGTAGCTGTTGCCACTACAGGAGGAAAAAATCGGGCAGCCATGTGAGATGACTGACGTGTTCATTTGTCGCTCTTCAGCAATCATTTTGTTATCTGTGTGTCTCTTAGGACATCGTGTTGAAAACTTTAAATATGTACAACAAAACTTGTTAAAAAGTAATATAAAAATAAATTATAGAACTTGAGCTTCATATTTAGTCAAAAGTAAAGCATAGTCTGGACATAATTAGCTCAAAAGCCTCTTCCAAGGG